ACTGGCATATCCCTTCCTATCACTTATGATTTTAAATTAAATTACAAGTTTTTATTGATAGGAGCAACATGCCAGCAAATGGAAAATTATTACCAAGAGATAAATCCTTATATTATCTACTTAATATATTTCAAGACTACGTCGAGGTCATTTTACAGTTCTACAACATGAACTGTCTATCAGAATTTTAATTACATTCATAAGAGCTAGCAAAAGTACTCTCAAACATGTTTATCTCTTTGCATAGTCAGAATCTTCTGACCTTAATAGCAGAAACACATTAATATATTTATTATTGCAATTTTCAGTCATCAGAATGACTGTCAGTCACTTGGACATCAGAAACATAAAATAAGGGTCGTATTTTTAAAAAATACTGCTTCTATGATACAGTGACAGTATGCAAAATACTGATATCTAGCTTGCAGATAAATCGAACTGTCAATGAGTTAACTCAACAAAATAAAGTACAATAGCTAATATACTTACTATATGTATCCTAAGGCTATTAAATACAACAAAACCAGCTTCAGTTACTAGGTTAGCTGAGTTTTTCAGGATTGATCACAATTATATACTTTTGCTGAATTTGTAAAGCAAATATATATTTCTGCCTATTAGCTATGTTGTAAAACTGCTATGTAAGAGTACGAAATATTGGTGCCTTCATCTCAGTGGTGTGTATTTTTACAATGAGCCTAGGAACGTTAACCACATGAGAGTGACTAATTCCAAGATGAACAGCAGAGCCCTTGTGTGTTCAACACAGCTGGCATCGCCTGTATTATTTTAATCAAACTCTGAAGATAAATCAGTTTGGGAAGGAACCCGAGAAAGTTCTTGTGCACAGGTATCATTTCCCTAGGATATGAAGGTTAACCTAAGTTTACACAAACGTTACCATTTTCATATAGTAACTGAGGTGAAAAATATTGCTTAAGCAGAACAAGTTCACATTATGTCTTCTACAGCTGACCGAGTCTCAAGTAAGAGAGACAGACACATGAATGAAAGGAGACAAAAAGACCAGGAGTACAAGGCCACAGGACAAGAATCTTTTTCCAGAAATGGGTGAATGTCCCAGAGAATGGTAGAGTGGGACAGTCACACCTTTGATTCTTTAAAGATTGGGAAAAGGTGGTAGGGTAGCTAGTGCACATGCCCTAACCTCGACCTCCTTCCAGAACTGGGCACGTCCCCAGTAAAAAGGGGAACATGTTTATGGAGTTTTGAGTAGTCAGAATAATAATAGGAACAGCTAGCTCAACTTTTCATTTCTGAGATGACAGATTTTGGGACTGCACTGTTTTGTATTCCTAAATTTACCTCTGAGCTTCTCTGTGTCCTCGATGGTAAGTAATGGATCAGCTGCTGAAGAGATTAAGACCAAAGAAGAGAGGTGGTCACACTGCAAATATCTATACAATCTTACAGAGGCTGAGTGTGAAAATAAAGTTTGATCTAAGGATGGCACACAGACGAGCGTTCACCTTGTCCCTCCCCACCCACTTCCACTTGGGAGAAGGCAAAGAGAATTCCAGTGTTCAGGGTGTCCTGCCGGGTTTGCACTCCTCCACGACGTCCTTGTGACACATTGAATTTTTTTTTCCACTGATTTATGGATTATTTTTTGACTGTTGATCAGCTATGACATTATACGTCTCTACACCAAATGCAAATATTTTACTTGATCTCTGCAGCATATCTTACTGGTTTGTTTTCTGCAAGAACGTACAGGTAACCTGTACCTCTGCGTGGCACAGCTCTTTCAGAACCTAGTATTCAAGCCCTAGGTGCTTTTTTGAACTAGGATAGTGACTGTGTTCTTTATTTGCTTCTCTGTTCTATCTTCATTGTTATT